TAATGCCAAAAAAAAAAAGTCTTATATAGAACCTTCTATAACAAAAGAAGAGGATGGGTCAAAAAATTAGATGTTTTAATTTTATAATAATTTTATTCTAATCAATTTAATTCTTCAAGATATTGAATTTTTTTTAAAAAAAATTTTTTGGCTCTCTCTTTTTTTTGCTGTGAGAGGCCCTATATATAAAAAAATACATAAATCAAAAAATATATATTTGAAAAACATAGTATACTATAAATATATAAAGAAAATATAATAAATTATTACTTTTAACAAGCTTAAACACCTTTAACAATTCTTAATACATTTTAAGAACTAATCTAACTTAAAGTCTATCCTATACAGTAGATTGTATTAAACCTCCTTATTAACAACCTTGTTGTGTTTAAAAACCCAACTTAGAATCTTTTAATCTTAAAAAAAGAAAAATAGTTATTTCTTGTTTCTATTTAGCAGTTTAAAATTTAGAAAAGGCTTTTTTTTCTTTACCTAGTTCAAAAATCATTATTAAGCTAACCCCTTTTAAATTAGAGATTATTAAAGATTATTTTTGAAGTTAGCTTTCTAGCACCTCTTCGAAGCTAGAAATGATATTTGTTAAGAGTAGTTACTTGTGTAATGTTACGTTCTTAAAAAGTACTCTAGACCATATAAATAAGTTACCTGGGCAATTGATTTGCATTAGCTAATCAGACGAATTTCTGCCTATGATACTGGGCATGCATTCAGGCAAAATCTTTTAGATATGTCGATATTGTAGTATCGTTCAGAATACAATCGCAAAGAATATATCATTATCGCTATATTATTAGTCGAGTCTTTAGTAGATAAATAATCAATTATTATCTACGACCCGATTGATAACTATATAGTACTTATTAATCATGCCAAATAAAAAGTTTATCGAATTGGCCAAATAATCAATCATTCGGTCAATTTTTTTACCAGATTTCTTAAATTTATTATTATGAGAACAGGATTAATATAACCGATTAATCGAATTCGAATAACCGATTAATCGATTAATCGATTAATCGAATTCAACCGGATTAATATAACCGATTGCTGTTTTCATAAATTCTGGAAAATTGCCGATGACTGAATCGATAAGTTGATCAAAATTCAAAAAAAATTGTAAAAATTAAAATAATTAGCATTATATGAGTGCTGTCAAAGGAAAATTTACAATCGGAATTTCAAGTATATTTTATGTACAGTTGGTTACCTGTGTAAATTTATGTCCGATGATAAATTTACCATAGTACACTAAATATACTTGAAAGCCCGATTGTAGGTTTTTCTTTGACAGCACTCATATAATGATTTAATACGTATTACCACAATTTGCCTTATTGATACCTCAAATATTTGCTTACAGGTTTTGCCTTGGCAGCACTCACATAACAATCCGGAACGTGTAACATAGGTATAGTGTTGTTATCATATGCAAAATTTGCAGTTAATTTATTGTTCACAGTCAACAAGTGTGATATTAAGATACAAATCGCAGTGGTATAAAACCAAAAGTGAACTGAGATAATAATATGTACTACATTAACAGCCTCTTTGCAGTGTATTAACTATTTTAGAAATTACCGTTAAGTAATTTTATTTAAACCAGTCTTAAACCAGTTTCCGTAATAATAGGAGAAGTTCTTCCGAAATAGCACTACGATACGAGGGTTTATTGGACAAAATTTTGAGTTCCAAATTCTCAATGAAGAATTACTGACGATCCGATCATTTTTACATACGTATACGTATAATTAATTTAACAGATAACACGACAGCTGAACATAACATTCGTGGGTATATCGCAGATCACGATTGTTAACAATAGACATATAAATAGGAGGCGATTCCCAAGCGTAAACAGAGAAAATTATTAAGAAGGAAACCATAGATTTATAGTAATAATAAAATAAAAACAATGAGAAATATGCAAAATCTTGTTCAAAAACTTAAAAAATCCAACTATCTCGTTACTACCATCGAATCTTGCACCGGAGGACTTGTTGCAAATCTTATTACAGACATTTCAGGATCAAGCAAAGTATTTTGGGGAGGCCGAGTAGTATATGATAATGAAGCTAAAGTAGCACTAGGAGTTTCATCATCTATACTTGAATCTTATGGAGCGGCATCACAAGAAACAGCGTTTTCTTTGGCAGAAAATGGGCTTATTGAATTGCAAAAATCCTCAAAAGCACCTTCCAAACGTACGATTTGTATTGCCACCACAGGGCTTGCAGAAAGAGACGAAGAAAATAGAAATTTTGGAGGGGTTTGTTGGATCGGAATAGCATCAAACTGTAGTCCAACATTCGTTGAACGAGTAGATGCACCTCCTCAAATTTCAAGAAAAGAGACAAAATTATTATTTGCTAGACGAGCACTTGAACTGTTGGAAAGCTTCGTTATCGTTAACGATTTACCATAATAGAAACTTTAATAGTTTAATTTACTTTGCCAGTCTCCTTAACAGCCAATAATAGTCATATGTGAAATATTGACCATGTGATATGTTATTTGTGAATTAATATAAATATTTACTAATATTGTAACGGAAAGTTTTAATTGTAGAAATAGCGTTCTTGATGTAATCTTACAATATTCAATTTTGATATATCAAAAAAAAAAAAAAATTTATTAAAAAATACGATCTTTAAAAAAATTTATCAATCACGTAAAGGAAGATATTTAGATCAACATTAATAAAAACCCAGTTTATAATGTATCTGTGAATTTATTTTTTGAAATAGCAAACTTCATATTTTCGTCATGAGTTTTATCGTTATGAAAAGTTTTCTAACTGCAATATTAGGGATTCCCTTAGCAATTTTGACAGCCCTTTGTCCGATTTTAGGTAGGTTAACGCTGTTCTTAACATTTTCAAGAGAATATATTTAATTATAATAATAAAAAAATTTTCTATCCAAATTTTTTTTTTTTTTTTTTTAGAAATCGTCAAGTACAATATTTTTCAATCAGATGATGATGGACTTAAATTTAATAGCAAAATTATTGAATATTTGTAAGAAAATTAACGTCCAATATTTTTTATAACAATATATTGGTATATCAAATTATACAAAAAAACTTACAAATATATCTATTTTATAATAGTTATTTGGCAGCAACGTTAATAATTCCTGGTGAATTTCAATATTGGAACTCATGATAAATCGTGATTGTTCATTCATTTATTTCTAAAAATAAAATTTTTTTTTGACATTC